TTGTTTTCTACTCCTCCTTGCTCGCCAATGCTGCCTTCTTTGCGGAAATTGAACGGCGCCCCGATGCCACTGTCTTCGAAGCCCTTGAGATCTTCCGTTTTCCCCGAGAAATTCGACCGCCTTCTTACGGCTTGATTATAAGCCGCAGGGGCGTCCTTTTTATCGAATCCAAATGTCGCCATCGTGTCGTGTCTGCCTGTGTTGAAAATAGAAGACTCGGTTCTTGGCGAGATTCCTTCACTTAAGTTCTTGGCAATATGCTGTTCTATCCATCCTCTGATACCTACCAATGCCGTAGCGCTCATTTGTACCACGAGCAAGATGCTAACAACCCCCGCAGAAGAGTCAGAAGAGAAGAACGCATCTACAATGCATAGCGAGATGGTACGAAGTGTCTTGAACCCCTGGAGAAAAGCAAACTGGCCCAGGATCAAACTGAGCTGTATGGTGAGACTGCTCAAGAAATAAATACGTTGTGGTGATTTGGCAAGTCCGACAGGGCCTTTGAGCCCCACAAACGCAGAGGGTGAGGGATGTGGCATCGTACTACGTAGGCGGGCGACCCCTAAACCAAATGTAGGCAATGTGATGATAAAAGAGATCAAGCCGAGTATCTAGTTGAACAAGTAAGTTAGTTGATGGTTTATTGTGAACTCTGCAGCAAGTAGCACTTACGCCGTGCGTGTCCCTGAAATGGCCGGTATTGCCCATACCGACAATGCCCAAAATGATGCCAGTAATACCAAAAACAGCAAACATGGTCAGAAAACCCATGCGCCATTTTCGGTTCTTCATCTCGCCAACTGGGTAGCCTATGAGAACCGAGAAGCGCCAGACTACACCCAAGATAAGATACAGCGGTAGGAAAAGGAGAAAGCCGAGGCTTGTAAAGATCACTATAGTCTAATATCAGCTGCTATCCTTCTCTGAGGCACGGTATTTTGAGGGCTTACCATGCAGCCAAGTAAGTGTAGTAAACATGCTCAGTGCTTGTCCATTGATCCTGATGCTTTTCTCTTGTGCGTTAATTTCAAAGCTGTTGCCTCCCGATGTAACGACGACTGGCCCTTGAGGCAAAAGTCGCAGGACCTTGGGATCGAGTGAAACTCCTGCTTGGCCCATGGCTGTCTCAATCATCTTAACCTCCGCTTTTGACGTGGACATGAAACCCATAGCTGCCGAGATGATGCCACCAACGCCCTGGCAAGTCAGGGAATCGACGATTTTCTGCGCACCTATCTGTGCCGTATCTGAATCGATCGCCAAGGGTAGTTGAGCTCCATCGGGTAGTTGAGCTTGGCGAGGGGAGAGGGGATTGATTTTATCTAGACCCTGTCAGTGAGTGGTGCGATATCTCTGAGCGTACAGACCTACCTACACCGACCCCCTCATCCTCATCGATAATGCTACGTTTTTTACCCATGGTAGCATTTTCCGATACTTTTGACCCTCCTGTAAGATTTCGTGCAACATCTGCAATGAGTATAGTTGCCTTTCCGGATAAACCCCGCGCGAAGCCAACAGCAGCACCGTTGATGGAGTCGTCGAATTGCGTCGGACCCAAAGCCGGCACCTTCCCACATCCATCGGCCGGAAAATCACCAGTAATGAGATTTTTGAGCCCTCCACATGAGGACATGGCAGTCATGACGCCTTCGATTGCACCTCTACCTAAGCCTTCAGCGGCCTTGGCCGCATTGAAGCGTTTAAATGCCTGTGGTGGGCTGTCTGTAATCAATTTCTTGGCTTTCTGTATGGCGGAACTATTCTCGAGAAAGTTTGAGAAGAAGTTTCGAGTGAACGATTCTGCTGCCAAAGCTGTTTGCACCTCTTCGGTGCTGATATCTCCGGTAATCGTCGAAGTGCTGTTCATAGTCTTGATATCCAACCCGACGGCGATTCCCGTGCCAATACCGGCTCCAGCCCCCGCAGCTATAGATCCAAGCATTTTCGGAACATCGAATGAACTAAACAAAGATGCCCTCATTGCAGCTCTGATGTCTGAAAAGTCGCTTCCTCCAATAAACGACTGACTGAGACCCTTGGCGAAGAGTCTCACAGCGTTGGGGAACTTTGGCGAATCTAATGCAACGTCTTGAAGCTGCCGTTTTTTTTGTTTTTGGTTGTTGTCGTTATTTTTTTTGTTGTTTCTGTTGTTGTTATTGTCATTGTTATTGTTGTTATCTTTATTGTTGTTGTCATTCTTCTTATGCAGGCCAAATCCGTTTCTCATGCCTTTTCCTAAGCCATTTCCAGCCGCTGCTGCAAATCCAGGAAGCCGCTGAATTAGTTCCGAAACAGTCGAGTTGTTAGTCCAGCTCTTTATCGCGGCTTTGAGATCCCTTTTTCCAACTAGTGGCATTGCAACGCCCAAGCCAAGATTACCTGCTATCCCTACAATGCTTGAATCTTGTGATGGTTGAAACTGCTCTTTTGTCAGTCCCAAGCCTACTGCAGTTGCATTGCCGACTCCAGACGCTAGAGCATACGCTGCTAGGCCGATTGGAATATTTCCTTTGTCAACTGCAGGCAACAGTTGTCTCGATAGCCCATTTCCCAACTGCTGAGCCGCGAGGTTTATCCCTGTAGCTGACAAGTTGTACGCAGTCACAATACTATTGGCTATGACACTGGCTTCCTCTGCATCAGTCAAGTTGAGCCCAGTGGCTGTTCCCATACTGTGACGAGTTAGTTTGGCCTGTTTGTATGCTAACATACTTACCCAAGACCAATGCCCAAGAAGAGAGCGGGTGTACCAAGTGAATCAGTGAGTGAGTCTCCCAGACAACCAAGGATATTTGTTAGTCCACATGACGAATTCCCTCCTATACCTAAACCACTCAACAGATCTTCCAAGGATGCGCCAAAATTTGCCAAAGGATCTTGCCGTTTGTGTCTTCGTTGTTGCTTATCGCGAATGCGGCTAACTCCATCTGTCAGATTCGTCCCGAAGCTCCTCAGTTCTTCCCACCCAAACTTTCCTCCCAAGTCCGCGGAAGAATGTGCGACTATCGCGGTAAGTGACAGTAGTGCGTCGTGAAAATGTGGATCTTGATTCAGCGAATCGAGAGTTCTTGTGGAGAAGATAGCCGTGAGGCCGTGTGGGTAATCGCTGGTAACGTCTGGATTCTGCCCGCTGATCCAGAAGCCAACTGAAGAGTATGATAGGAAGAAAATCGCCGAAAATGCCAGTAGACACCAGGTAAACGTGCCGGCAATAGAAGAAAACATTATTAAAACAATTTAATGGGGTATCTCAACAACATCTGCAAAAAGAGAAGAAAGCTTGACAATGTTGCTGCAGGTAAGTTGCCACACCACTTATGGCATCAAGGAAGACGTGCACTGTTGCTAGCTGGTAGCCAGGCCCTAGTATATGCCGGCACCAGTGAACATGGTGACGCTGTCAAGGATAGCAATGCCGAAACATTCTAGGCATGAAACTAGAAACGCCCCGACTCCATATCCAGCGCGTAGCGTGGTGAGGACACTCATGGTTCACCTACAACGATGGGTATAGGTGGAATTTGCTTTTGTCAATCAAAATCTGCAGGAGAGAGCTGCATGACCTGGCCAATCTAAGTTGAAGAAATCATGCAATCTGCCAATCTACCTATGAATGGGCATCGGCACAGGTCTACCGAGAAAACAGAACAGATCACATCGCCGAACCTGCGCATTGCAAAGAAGCGTTTCTGTCAATGGCCCTGACACTAGGACGTGGAACTTTGAACTGCCTTCCAGGGTTGCCCTCGTGGATGTGAAGATCCCGTGGTGGAGCCGTCCGCTAATGCGACGATCTTGAAACGTACGCTACCAGTCAGTGACATACACAACCCTTGCATGACTGAATCTATTGCGACACGTGCTCCAGGAATGCTTGCGTGTTTGTGGACGAATCCAGAGAAGAATATCAGTAAAGGCCCCAATCATGTCCAGAGATTTGACAGTTGGCCACTCCCCGAGTACTAGGTTAGCGGTCTTTGCATCTATTCAACGCTAAGAAAACGTTGATCTTTTTGCCTGCGATGACTCGTATTGATGTTGCCCCGTCGCGCCATTTTGTTCCAGATACACACATATGCTTTGTCTGAGCTAGCCTTGGGAGCGAAGACGTTTCAGTACACCGGCGGCTTAGACCGAGGCAGATTCGCGGGGATCCTGATTTACGAAGCGTCAGTGAGACACTGGAGCTGTGTTGTACAGTTGGCAGATTTCAAATTGGAGGAGAGCACGAGACATCATGGAAGGATTGTAAGTTCGCAAAGACGGTTTCCATTGGCTGCTGAAGAGGTCTGGATGATACCTATGACAGGTTAAGCTGAGGCAGAACGACACGCGGATGGCAGTAAGCGCAATCGTCAAGACGATTCTGGAAAACGCGTTGTGAATATCATTTCTTGATGAATGAGTTGTGAATATCAGTTCTTGATATTGCATTATGTATTTCGAGTTAAAACTCGTTTCTCCCCAAGCTGGTCCAAAGCCAGAAACGCCCGCCGTTGCGCGAATCCTTAAACATGTATGTATGCTTTATGTTGGACATCTTTTGTCCCCATGTTGGTTGTCGGCTTGCATGTCCCTTGTTCGATAGTAGCCTGTTCAGCTTGGCGCTGAAATTTGCTCATCGTGATAAATAAATGGCTGAGGGAGCAACCACGATGATGACAAATTGCAACCGATTCGGAAACCACTTGGCGGCTCGGTTGTATGCTAACTGTTGGTTCAAATTGATAAGAAGAGCTGGCAGCTCATAGTCATATTACAAAAATGAATAACTCGCTGGCGACACAGTAGAAGGGCCTGTTGCGCAAGATGGCTCCCGCTGCAATAGGCAGTGAGGAGAAGACATTGACTTGTACAGGGTATGTTTTCTCGGTGCCGCTCATTGTGAAACCCAACTCATGGCTGAAGCCTGTCTTTTCGACACGTTATGAAAAGTAAACAAAATTCGGTCTCTTTGGTGACAGAGAGAACACGACTGGCATGCGTTACTCAAATCAGAATTTCTCTCCTGCGTGCTTTGTTGCTATTGTCAGGCCAGTTGATGTGTTGCTGGACGTGCTACTGTTGCTAGTGCTCTTTCGTCTCTTACGTTCGTGGGCAATGTCTGGGCTGTGGCTGAAGCGTGTGTTGTTTGGTATGGGCTGCTGGGGGAAGTAGCCATACTCATCGTCATGCACGAACCGTACGGGCGTCCTCGATCTACTCTGCACCGGACTCATTCGCAAGATCTCCGATCCGACGCTCACTCGCTGACCTGGGCTAGCAGCGCCAGTATGGCTTAACCTGCGCCTTCTGGTTGGTGTCTCGGCAGGCAGTTCAAGTCTTGAGTTGATGCCCATCCACAATGCCTCTTCATCGTCATCACCTGTAACTCTCCAGCCACCTACGCCTTCAAAATCTCGCGTCAATTCGCTAGTACCGATCAGAGCGGTAAGCGAATTGTTCTTTCGCTGAAGAAAGTTTGGAGACTGGGCAGAATAGACAGCAGGGCCCTGGATAGACGCCGTGCCGGTGATGCTGGTACGGCGAGAGCGCTGGTGCACGCTCTTTGGTGAATGTCGGGCTGACGCGGGCACGGGGCGAGAACGACGGGGAGGACTGTATTTCGATGGAGGCGACGGGGAGAGCCACGCGCCTACGATAGCAATGGCCAGGCGGAAGTAGACGGCCAATGCGCGCAACGACAGAAGCGCGATGGCGATGGACGTGGTGACGAGGGCGAAGAAGGCAAGCGGGATGGAGATGGAGAGCAAGACAAAGGGGGCAACGGCATAGATGGGACTCCACAAGCTAAGCTCAAAGCTCAGCGAGCCCAAGCGAAGCAACATGTTGTTGGTGGTGATGATGCGCGTCTTGGGGGAAGAAGACGGAGTGGAGCGTGTTCGCATGTGAAAGTTGCGGGGAAATGCCAAGCCGGGACGCATCCGATTGCTCCACCAGCGGCAGCTCGACAAGACAAATGGAGATGTTGGCGATGGTGAGCGATGGTCAGCCGTGTCTGTGTGTTCCAAATGTCTTCATCTTCCTCTTGTCAGCCTCAGACGCTTGCTGGCCCGTTCCGAGCACGGCCTGGTTCCTAGTTGCCAGTGAAACGCCTCGCGGTGCTGCGCGCGGGTGTGATGCCGATGCCGATAAGGACGGCGCTGAGTGAAGTGCCTTTGAAGATGCTTTCGTACTGCTCAATCTTCAGGCGGGTGCTGTACGGCTGTCGCTTGATGCGTAGAAATGTCGCTCCTGTGACGGCTAGCCACGTGCCAAAGAGGATTTCGTAGCGATACTTTTCAACCACGGTTTCTGACGCGCTGCTGGACATGCTGCTGAACAAATCAGTTGGAAGGAGGGAGTTTGGGAGCAAATGAAATGGGGCGGACGGGCGGAGACGGCGGTGCTGATATGGAAAAACTTCATGACGTCGCCAGCCCCCTCTATTACCCTCTCGCCACCCCCGTCACCCCAGACACGGCCCATCGTCAGCCAACCATTGACTGAGGCAGCGAGCTGCGCGATCAAACCAAAATGCACGCCCAAGAGAAGGGCTGCCATCCTTTCACCTCAGATCAAGCTAGACGACGCGCTCTGGATCCTAGCCCCCGCTCTGATTTGGCCACAACAATTATTGCAAAACGCGGCCAAGTGATTCGTTTATTAAACGACACCAACTCCGCACCTGAAGGTGTCAGCCGCTGCTACAAGGCTTTACGAAGCTATCTCAAACATCAAGCCGTGCAATGTACCATGTATAGTTTTTGGCATTCAACCCCACGACGACACCAGCAGCCTGTAAATGTTTTGCTGGATGCTTTTGTCGGAACAATGCCTGCCCCCCACCATCTCATCCCAAGGTCAATCGCAACCTGGCATAGTTATCGCTATGCACTTGCATCCAATCGCTGATTAGCTGTGTCACCCAGGGTGTGCAAAGTGAAGCTGACTGGCTATCGTTAAAGAAACATATAGTTGAACGCCTTGTTTGAAGCGGTGTGCAACTCACCGCCCTACCGCAGCGGGGATCCCTACCTTGTCAAGAACAGAGACTGAAGTTACACGACGGGTGGTTGCAGACTGCAAAATCTGTTTTTGTGGTAGTCGATTTCTGTGTGACAAAAGACTTGGCACTTATGAAGACTAGTGAATGTCTTCTTGTTGTTGATACACGATGCTCGATTAATTCTCGGCGTGAGACAACATGCCTGCCATGCAGGAAAAGCCACCTGAATTGTATTTCAAATCTTTGTGCGTAATCAAATTGTAGATGTGACATTGTTCAACCAGTGTTTGATTTCACGGCTGATCATCGTGCATGTCCCATATACCAAATTTGTCAACCCCTCCAACCCACCCAGCTATACAATGCACGACATCTTGATATAAATTTGACATTCCATTCCAACTTACCAGAAGATCATTCACACCAGCACCTCACGGAGCAAGGAAAACAAGAAGTCTTGCCAGTTCTACAAGACCTTTACAAACAAGAATCCAAATTTTCTACTTGAGCTTTGAGATTTCGCCATACCCACCATCATCTTAAGCATGCAGCCATCTTTGATGACGCTAGTCCTTCTAGCACCAACACAAGCTATAGCATCTGAGCTTATACGTGTTGCAACATCCGAGCCTACCCAGGTAACCAAGGTGACTGTACAAACCAGCACCATCGACGCACCCTCCGAGTTCACCCAAGCTAGTATCGTAGCCCAGCTGCAGAAAGATTCTATCCTTCCTGCTTCCTCAAACTCAGCTTGGGTAGAGCCTTCATGGCTCTTGTACAGTGACGCCACGCCCACTGAGACATCAGTAACAGCACCCATTGAGACATCAGTGACAGCACCCACTGAGACTGCAGCCGCAGCACCTACTTCCAAGCGTGATAAGTGGCACTCAAACCCCAAAGAATTCAAGCTCGATGTAATCATCTTCTTCGGCGTCACCGGCGGCCTCATCGGCCTCATGGCTTCGCTGTGCCTCCTCGGCTCCTGCGCCGAAGCATATCAGCGTCGATCTCGCGCCAAGAAGGCTTCTGCCTCCTCTTCCAACAATGACCAGCCTAGAGACATTGAGCGTACCGCCGGTCTCCCAGGTACCGTAGGCATTCTCAAATCAGGTGCTAACAATAGTTCACGTACGCCTGCTGCGGGTGAGGCGGGTGAAGCTGCGCAGCAGGGTGGTGTTGTTATTATGATGCCCGAGTTTCCGGCTCCTGTATATCGAAACAATATTTTACCTCAGGATATACATTCTCCAGAGGGCGAGACGGCACCTCTGGCGCCGCAAGGCTCGGCTTCGGTGCGTCCCACGGGCTCTTGAGAGGTTTGATAGTAATCATTTTTTTAGCTTGTAAAGAGTATTGTTTTTAAACGGTGAGTTCCATGGGTATAGACTGTTTTCGGCTTCAATCTTCAAAGATACATTTGTTCGAGAGAAAAAAAAACCCGCATTCATCAAGTCTAGTAAGTAGACAATTAGAATCGCTCATACTCCTAACTATTCTTAACTTTACTACTGAAGACCATCATGCCTACCATGCTAGCATTCCATTCTTAACCATAAAAATTAGTTTTTTTTTAAAAAAAAAAATTCTAATCCTGGTAGGCTAGAGGATATTACATAAATTACTCTTTGCTAAGATAATTGGTCTGATACCCACTGAATAGTGAATAGAAATTTAAAAAAAAAGTTCCGTTATTAACTACATTGTATAACGACATTATTGGCCTACTTGAGTTTTAGTAACATGCCAGCATCATCATCATACGCCTGCCCGTGCATAATCCCATGGACATAGGCGTCACCAACAAGGAGCCAATATCCATCTTTCCTCTGCCTGACGATAAACGGCACAGTCGCCCCTTTAAGCAGGATCAATTTATCGCCAGCCTTGACATGCGCTGGTAGTAAGCAAAGCCAGCCTGATTTGGTTCTTCCAAGTCTTCTTCCTTTGGTATGAGGAATCATTTCGCTAAAAGCCCCATAACTCTTCCAGGTCGCCCAAAAATAGCCCATCAAACCTAGAGTTTTGAACAAGGTTGGAAATTTCGATACCTTCATTTTCCTAAGGCCGCTGATAGGTGATAGTTGGGCGCGCCATTGACGGAACAATGTCTCGATTTTTTCTTCGCCTTCGGGGTCAAGCAGCCCTGTGCAAAGCGTTTGCCAAAACATTTTCTTGGATGGCTGTGCGTCTTGCGTGCCGTAAATGTAACACGGCTGGCGATCAGCAAAAGTCTCCCACGTGAGGAACACGTTGAAGAAATCAACCACACCAAGTAACAACTTGTATACCTTCCAGAGCTCGCAGCCTATTTCGAAGAAAATCCTCCTCAAAGAAGGATCCTCCTCCTCCGTATAACTCCAATCCGCGTCATCGGGTACAATAAGCAAATCACTGTACTCGGCAATGACATCTAAAAGCTGACCAGTCACACCCATGACATCTGGCTCATCATAGAACTGAGCATGCGCTATCGAGTCCAAAGAAGCTTCATAACGCCGTAACTCGTCAAAGCCGGTTCGTATCAATGGCATATACATTGTTTCTGAATTGTTCCAATCGGGGACCCAGGAATTTAAGCTTGCTTCCTCCTCGCTTGGAGCGTCATTGTGGATGCAATGACTGAAGATGTCGAGATTGCTGGTCCCTCGTAGAATTTCAACTGCTGTTGCACGATAGACCTCATTGACGGAAGCGGTATAGTCTACAACGATATGCAGATCCTGACGATTGCCCTTGAGTAGCCCCATAATTGCAAAGACCTTGTCGCGGGGATTTGTTGCCAATCTCGGTCTCAGGGCCGACAGTAATCGAAGCAATTGTCCTGCTGTATTACCCTCCAATGGCTTATCCTCAAGTTCTTTGATGGATTGAAGACCTTCGAAGGGCTCATCGCAGATCCCAGCTATCCTCGAGTCAAATTTGTCCTCAAGTTTTCCGTATTCTATCGCATTCATGAAACGCTTCCAGTCCACTTGATATTGGCCGCACATGATGATCTTTTCAGACGCGAGACATACTTCTTGCACAACCCAAGCACGTGTCCACCAATCCATCTGAGCCAATTCTCCGAGGATATAGCAGCCATGGCGCAAGTCTTCACGTTCCTTTTTAGTTCGCGAAGCATCTAGAGGAGATTTTGTTGAAGCGCTAGCTTCTCCGATGGACTGCTGGTGTGCAAGGGCTTCGCTTTCTAAAGTTGTGATGCAATCGAAGGCGAGGTAGACATAGTCATAGGACGGTCCGAGCCAAACAACTGTGCGTGTAGCTTGTGTGTAAATGTCGCCCATGATCCCGACTTGTTTAGCGCGTTCGTGTATATTGCTTTGATCAATACAGATTGCGTCCGCCCATAATACGCGAGACTCCATAGGGCGCCTAAGGTCCATTAGAGCTGAACGCAAGCTTTCGCCGATTTGCAATGTCAGGTCGTCCACCTGAATAGGCGTTGTCTGACTCATATCTCCCCAGACATAAGATAGTGCCTCGTACTTCAACCCCTCCCGCAGCTCTACTTGCAGAAGCCGGCATACGACATCGTCCTGTCGCGTTCCAGGAAGTAGCTCTATCACGCGAATGTATTTACAATCTTCCGTAGGGCTAGGCAACCCGGTATATACATAGGGGCTCGTCGTAATGGTATTTCGTTTTTTCTCCAGTTTTGTAAGCTCGGAGTGGTTGCTTTCCAGGGTAAATTCCGGAGACTCTTCTTTAGAAGAGGAAAGTATCTGTTTGGGAACCTCAAGGAAGTAGTGTTTGGCGACTATCTTTGTGTAATAACCCACATTGTTTCTAGGAGGCAGGGCAGAGTCTGTGAAAATCCGCCGTGACATGGTTGGCGGTATCCGGAATAGTAGGCCAGAGAATGTTGCATGCAAACTACATATGTTTCTTGAGTGGCGAGACCGTAGACGTCTTTAATAACAAGAAGCGTTGCCTCTAAGCCATATTTACCCCGCACATGATTCTAGAAGTAATACTAAGTTCTAGCGTGGACAGCTGAAGAAGAACAACATCTGTTCTCGTCAGCGCCATTTCTCTTACGACTAGTTCTATCTTATTATTTGCAGTAGTGCGACTAATAATAGTCCTGTTGAAAGCACTGCCGGTAGAGATTTTCATCATGAAAGTTTTGGGAAGTCTACCCTCTTCCGCCCAGATGCTAGCGCGTATCTGGTCAAGGAATGGTTTGTCATTCGTGGTGTGTAAAGCAAGATTATCTAGCTTTTATAATTAGCGTATAAGCCAATATAAAGAAGATATGATAATTTATTAAAGCAGTACTTATATTGATATTTGATAACACAAGCCTTGGGTATGGTTACCTCGTACGCTAGTGACGATAACGCCCATTGCACCCATATTATCCTTTACATCATAGCAATCCACATATATAGCATCTCAATAGCATCCAGAGAGTTCCGAGTAGACTAGCCACATCAGTCTGGTGCTTTACAATTCCGACTTGGACATGTCTTTTTCAATGTCATGTTTGTTCACCACTACGAATTCGTCGTCACTCTCGTCAGTTTTCTGCTTCTTAGACGATGGCTGTTCCAAGTCTGCTGCTTCTGTGGGGTCAATAGTCGGAGCATCCGGAAGCTGTGACGCCAGCGCATGAGGCTCGGTAGCGTGCTCTTCTTGGGGCTCTGACTCGGAGACGGGAGGGAAGTAGTCGCTAGAATGATAATCAGTATCAGGTATGAGACATCATGGAAGATTCACATACGCAACCTGCTCGAAATAAGCATCTTCGTCCTTTTGCAGGAAATTGCAGAAGATGACTCGATCGAGCATCTCGGCACTGCTTTCTTTGACCAAAAAGTCATGAACGGTCTTTAGCGCAACACTGCAAGCCTCGTGACTCGGATATCCGTAGACACCAGTGCTTATTGCAGCGAATGCAATGCTTTTGCAGCCGTTTTCGACAGCTAGCTCGAGGCTCTTTCGGTAGCAACCAGACAGCAACTCCGCTGCGCTCGATCCCACCTTCCAGTATATCGGTCCAACAGCGTGGATGACCTTCTTGCATGGCAGTTCGTATGCGTCGGTGATTTTGGCACTGCCCGTCTCACATCCGTTGAGTGTTTCGCATTCTTCTATTAGTTCGGGCCCAGCCGCACGGTGGATTGCTCCGTCCACTCCGCCGCCACCCAAAAGACTCGTGTTCGCAGCGTTTACGATGGCGTCAACAGCGAGAGTCGTTATGTCTTGTCGAATTATGCTGATTTTGTCGTTGAGACTGGCAGATGGTATGCCCTTGGGCTGCCTATTCTTGGGCTCTATCTTCTTGAGTTTGTAAAGCAGCGACAAGGTTGGAATCTCGTCAAGAGATGTGATTGCCATCCTTGTGGGCGAGCGAGATGACGAGTTTTTTGCGAGGTAATATGCGCTGGCCATGGGTCGTTGTAGTCGTTGTGATGTACGGATGACAGGACTAAATACCATCAAGGCGAGTGAAGGCTGAGAGTGTTGCCTAGTAGTTGGGTACGGTAAGTACGGAATGGTAGAGCTATCAGCTCCGAGTGGGCTGGAGCTTGGGCCCCGCGTTCCCCGTCGATTACCCCGCCGAGAGCCTTGCTGTGTGCATGTGCATACCCCATGCCGTCTTGCTCACTCGCCTCTGGTGCCGCGAGCAATTTGCCTTGCGTGCTTTGAGACATGACAACCGATGGGAATTAACTCTTCGTGGAGCACGAGAGCGAGCTATGCGTCTACAACTACAAGTCTTCGCACGTTCTCTAACAGGTCATTCACGGAAACTCTGAGCTTCTTAATCATGTAGAGTCAACCTTTCTCTTTTGCCTTGCACTGTTCTATAGTTGTCATGGACGAACTTTACACTTACGCCTTCACATGTCTAACGCTGTGCACAAGAAGATTTTTACTGCCCATAGTGCATGAAGTGTTTTTTCTTTCCATTTCAACATCTCTCTACAGCGTGCGAAATGGAGTGTATGTTGTTTCGGGCAGTATGGTAGTGTGAGAGTGCGGTGTGCCAAGCTCGGTTCGAGATATCGATAACATCACGTGAGTATCCTTGGAGATTGGAAATTCCAAGTCCGTCACTTACTATAACTCGTAAATCTGTAACATTCATTTTCATTATTCCGGTACATACGTCCATAGATTTCTGGCCCAGGGAAACCCGTTTGATCTTCCGTACTTAAGCAGTTAATCGGCGGATTAGTAGTCAGGTGGGTGACCACTGGCGAATACCCGCTGTCGTATGTTTTTGTTTTTGCAATTTCATTTTTTGGCCATTATCCCTGAGTCACGTGGTGAAGTCTTGGCATTTCCGTCTTTAAAGTCGATA